CTCTGTCACCAAGGCTGGAGTACAGTGGCTCGATCTCGGCTCACTGCAACCTCCCCCTCGCGGGTTCAATCAGTTCTCCCTGCCTCAGCCTCCTGAGTAGCTGGGATTACAGACGCCTACTACCATGCCTGGCTACTAATTTTTGTATTTTTAGTAGAGACGGTGTTTCGCCATGTTGACCAGGCTGGTTTTGAACTCCTGACCTCAGGGGATCTGCCCGCCTCAGCCTCCCAAAGTGCTGTGATTACAGGCATGAGCCACCGCACCTGGTCTCAGTTATTTTCTAATAGCATTGATATAACTTGGTCTATGTTGCATCTTTTTCATTTTTAGTATCTAATAATAAATGATAAAATAGCCTGATTTACTAAAATGGTAAGCTCCTGTAATGCAGGGAAGATGGGGAGAGGAGTGGTATTATAGATTACGATCAGAATGGGGGTGGTGATAGAACAGCTAGCTAACCTATCTTTAGGAATTAGATTTGAAAAACAAATATATCACTGTGCTTTGAAAGTTATTTGTGTACTTTGGAGGGATAAGGCTACATACATCCAAAATTACAGTATATTTGATGTCTCTATTCTTCACAGAACCTAGCATGCTACTTGTTCTCATTTTGTATATATACATGGAGAATAGAAGTTTAAAAACATGGGTGGGAAAAAGCCAATAAATTGCTTAGGAGCTTATCATTTTGTCCTTAATTCCTTTCTTACCCACTCCAGAAAGCAACGTCTGGATAAAGAGCTGATGGCTCTCTAGAATAATTCTGAGAACCCAAATTTAGCTGAGACAGTGAGCTCCTCCAAGATTTCCTAGCCCCTGAGAGCAATCTAAGAATGACTATTGACTTTGGTCTGTCTCACATGAATGGTTCCTTGAGTTGGATAGAATAAGAACCCACTAGCCTGCCTTTTAGAACATGGTCTATACTCTGAAACTGCTCCTAGTGTCCCTAGAGTTTTTCCTGGACAAATCCCAAAACCAGATTACTCTAGAAATATGAAAAGGGAAAGCAAGATGGTGTTTCCTGAAGTTGGGTTTTCATACTGGACTTCAGATAATTTTCCTTGGCTTGTCCAAGGAGTCAACAGCATAATTAAGATATAAAATGGCCCTCACTTAGTACTTGGACTAATCCCCTAAACCACAGTGTAGCATCTTCTACAAGAGTCTCCTTTCTTACTCATGCGGGGTTCTGAGTCAGACAGGAAGCCACCAGCTATAGAAGCGGGAGGCCCTTTCTGATGGGCCCAGCGCAAGATGCTATAGTGACTGGGCCAATCCTATGCTCTTCCCTACAACACCAGGAAGAAAAATGACTAAGGAAATGAGTTGAAGGGCATTCTAGATTAGCTATTCAGTGCTTAAAAACTAATAGGAATGTGGACAAATGAACAGGAAACATTCAGTCTAAAAGGAGAAAGCAACAGAAACACCCACACACACAAGTCGTCTAATGAAGATGAGATAGTTAAGGAAAAGGAATAAACTGCTCCTATTAGTAAAATTCTCAAACTGGGCTCAAAGGCAGTAGCAGCCTTAAGGCTGCAGGTAGTCTGAGTGGCTTCAGTTTTCTGTTTTGTTTTGTTTTGTTTGAGATGGAGTCTCATTCTGTTGCCCAGGCTGGAGTGCAATGGCGTGATCTCATCTCACTGCAACCTCCGCCTCCCAGGTTCAAGCAGTTCTGCCTCAGCCTCCCAAGTAGCTGGGATTACAGGCGCCCACCACCATGCCCCGCTAATTTTTGTATGTTTAGTAGAGACGGGGTTTCACCATGTTGGTCAGGCTGGTTTTGAACTCCTGACCTCAGGTGATCCACCTACCTCGGCCTCCCAAAGTGCTGAGATTACAGGTGTGAGCCACGGTGCCTGGCCTTTGTTTTGTTGTGGTTGGTTGGTTTTTCAGGAATTTTTAAAACATAAAGCCAGTTGGGCCAAATTCTAAAAGGCCAAAAGAAATGCCTGCTCTAACTGCAGGAGTACACCAAATGTTTATGGAGAGGCCTCAGCTGGATGGACCATGAGGGTGTGAGCCCAGGTACTCACCTCCCCACTGAGTGGTATCTCAATAGGCTTGGGCTTCACATCTATCAGGTAGAAGGTGCGGGACAGGAGCAAAAGGGAAGGAGGGACGTTCTCCTTCAGGTGGAGGTCCTGCCACTGGAAAACAGGAGGGGAACAACACGTGAGAATCACAGAACGCCAGAGCCGGAGTGATCCGCGGTGATCTACCGCCTCGCTCGCCGACACCTTCCCACCGCCCCCGCCCCTTCCGCCAAGCCGCTCAGGTGATGAGTAACGGCAGAACACGGACAGGAGCCCAGCCCTGGCTTCTGCACTGAGGGGGTACCCTGCCGACTCCTTCACTATGGTGGAATCACTCTCGGAGAATTCAATTAAACTGTCAACCCAGTCAAGTATCTTCTCCTGGACAAAGTGTAGATAATGTGAAAGAAGAAATCACAGGCTGAGCAACACAGGGCGACTCTGTCTCTACAAAAAAATTTGCTAATTATTTGGGTATAGTGGTACATGCCCGTGGTCCCAGCTAGGGAGGCTGAGGTGGGAGGATTGCTTGAGCCCAGGAGTTTGAGGCTGCAGTGGCCTGTGTTAATGCCACTGCACTCCAGCCTGGGTGACAGAGTGAGACCCTGTCTTCTTAAGATCAGTAATATATGCACAAAAGATAAAATTCGAAAAGTACCATTAAAAAAATTCACAAAGTTTGTGCAGTGACCATGTCATAGCCAACGTTCAAGAAATACATGATTTTAAGGATCTTTCTCTACAATGTGCTGTCTTCCAACCAGAGCTGGTCCCACATATGAGAGGAAAAAGTGACCTAACACGGTTTCCAAGCCAAGGCTGGTATCCTAAGATTATCTGCGCACTCTTCATGGCATTTTTTACAATGATGGGAATGAAATGTAATAGGAGTTACTCCGTTGTTTTAAAGCATGGATGCTCTTAAAGTACAAATATGCTATCTGAGGAAAAATATTAAACATGGGTTACCACAGCGTGTGTTGGTTTGGGGCACTAACTGAAAAGCAGCCCCAGGTGGGCCACCAGGCAAAGTGGGGACCTCCAGACAGATTCACACAGATAACAGGCCTTGAACTGAAATTTTTGCCAGGACCCTTTACACTACGTGGAGTAGGTGAAAATCCTGAGGTGGCTCCAAGACACATTGTTCCGACAGCACCCACACTCTTTCCTAGTTATTCAACAGTATTCTAGGTGCTGTGTGAAGGGATTCTACAGGTGTAACTGAGGTCCCAAGTCGGTTGACCTTAAGATAGGGAGAATCTTTGGATGGGCCTCACCAATCACATGAGACCTTCAGTCTGGGGCTAGAGGTCAAACGCGGGGGAAATTGGAGATTTCAAGCACAAGGAAGCTCTGGCATATAAGAAGTTCTCTGATGTTGGCTTTGCAGATGAAGGAGGCCAAGAGGCAAGGAATACAGGTGGCCACTAGATGCTGAGAGTAGCCCTGGGCTCACAGCCAGCCGGGAAACAAAGCCCTCAGTTCGACAGCTGCAAGGAACTAGGTTCAGCCAACAAACTGAATGAACTTGGAAGCAGGTCGTTTCCCACAGCCTCCAAAGGAAGACAGCCTGCACTTCTGACCTACCAACTGTGAGCTAATATACCGGTGTTGTTGTAAGCCACTAAGTTCATGGTCATTTCGTAGGCAGCAATGGAAAACTGACAGAGATCCCAATCAAAGTGAAAAATCAACCTAGTTCTTCAACATCCCAGTGCTCAATGAAATAAGGCAAATTAGGTAAGACGGTTCACTTGCAAAGAAGAAATCACATAAGGAGGTCTGCATATTGTAGAAGAGACTTCTAGGGAAGAGGACCCCGGAGGGGTGTTGCTACTTGCCTCCGTGAGCTGTTGTCGCAGTTGTTCCTCCGTGAGACCCAATGATCTCATCCCTCGGGCCCTACAGGCAGACTGTAGTTCTGATACACTCAATGCCCTCACCCCTTCCTTGGCAATTATCTGAAAGAAATGTAAGGGATGGAGCTGGAGCTTTTGATTCCAATTTTATGCAATCCCTAAATTCCAGTAAGTCAGTGGAAACAGAATCAGAGGCTTGGACACTTTGTACCTTGCACTGGCTGCTGCAGCAAAGGCGATGTAGGGAGGTGGCAGTTGAAATAACGGGAATCCTGCCAACAGGTATTAGCAATATTAGGGATATTTACACAACTCCTCCCCAACATTCTGTCATCAGAGTAATTATTTCCCCTCTTGATCTGCATTTTGTCTGGTTGTGACATACCTACTTTTCTCTTCCGTGGCAGCTTTATGGTTCATTAGAAAAAAGTAGTTCACTTGAAAAACTCACAATGTACCATTTGTTGCATGTCCCTGTAGTGTTTTCCCCTGCTGTCCCCCCACCACCCCCAGAAATGGCCCTGACACACTGATCCACAAAACTCCCTCAGTAAATAACACAGTTTCTGCTTGGCGTAACCCAAAACTATGGTATTTCTGGGACCAGTGTTGTTTATTGCAAAGCTCTAAGAGCAACAACTGAAATCTAAATGGGGCCAAAGGGATCATGCTTTCTCAGTTCTGGGAAACCTGCTCCCCCAGGCGGAATGCTTATAAAGCAGCTGATTCTGAGTCAAGAAACATTCCTTCCATTTTTTCAAAAAGCCTAATTAGTAGTTATAGTCCAAGGGTGCCTTTCTTCTACAAGGTGTTGAGGCTCTGCTTTTCCTCCCAGCATTATGTTTTGCATACCAAGCCAACTACCCCTTCTTGGCAGGCCAACGCGCCCAGCAGAATATTGACTTTGGCACCAGCTTCCCGGTATGAGAGCAGAAGTGTGGGAGCAGAGCTTTGTCAGGAATCTACTGAGCTGCTATTTCCTTCCCAGCAGGTCCTAACTGCTTTAGGTGAGTCCCAGCTAAGACATCCAAATTACTAACTGCTTATGATGGCCTTCTCAATAAATGGGTAAGGGGCTGACAACTCCTCAAATGAGTAATCAAGGTTCAAGTTGTCATGGTAATGGTTGTTTAAACCACTCATTTTGTCAGAACCCAACATGACCAGACCCAATGGAAAATACTGCACTTCTATCCAGGCGTGGTGGCTCACACCTGTCATCCCAGCACTTTGGGAGGCTGAGGCAAGCAGATCACTTGAGGTCAGGAGTTTGAGACCAACCTGGCCAACATGGTGAAGCCCCGTCTCTACTAAAAATAGAAAAATTAGCCGGGTGTGGTGGTGCATGCCTGTAATCCCAGCTACTTGGGAGGCTGAGGTGGGAGAATCACTTGAACCCGGAAGGCAGAGGTTGCAATGAGCCAGATTGCACCACTGCAGCCTGGGCGACAGAGCAAGACTTCGTCTCAAAAACAAAAACAATACTGCACAGTTCGTCCCACAGGCACCCTAAGGTATCTCCCAAAACCTTGCTAATTCCCTAGAGCTATGGTTAAGCTCTTACTTCATCATCTGCTTTTATAGACTTCAGTTTCATCAGGAGCTGAAAGCGGAGCAGGTTGTTGGTTCCAAACGTCTGCATTTCTAGCAGTTTGCAAAGGGCAACCAGCTGAGGGCGATCTAAGTGTTCCAGGGCCAGCTGGTCCTCAAATAGTTTGGAGAAGCGAACTATCTCCTTTGTGCTGGGCTTGTGGCCTGTCTGGACCTATGCAGTGGGACAAAGAGGCCAATTAAAATGTGTTTCCTACTTAATTTAACTTTCCCAATAGGCTATTTGAAAGAGACACCAAAGCATTTATGGGACTCTCTCTGACATCTGGAAATGGGTCTCGTGGTATAAAGAAAAGATATCCATCCGAAGTCAAACTACATCAGCTGAAAAATCAGGAGTTCAGAAGTTTGACTCTAAGTCTACCGTTCTTTCCAAGAAGTTATCAGTGTCTTCAACATGCTGATTACTTTAAGACAGGCTTTCCTGCAAACTACTATCAATGTTTATAATATTAAATGTTTACAATATTGTACGTTCATAATTTAGATATTTGCAATTCCAAAGATGGTGAACAGTTTGGGAAATCCATGATGACATGTGTTTTTCATATAACTCCCAACCCTGAAGTTGTTTAGCATTACATAAAAGATGGACACCTGCTTCACGTAGGATGACAGCTGTGTAGAGGCATCGCCCATCTTCGCTCTGTTCCTCCTTGCCATTTCTGTCATGGTTTCTTGAAGAAATTTTGCTAGTTCCAACTTTACAGCCATTTTCTTTTTCTGTTTTTCTTCCTTAATGGTAGAAGAATAAAAGTTACTCAATCCTTCATGATTGCAAATTGGTAGATAAAGATGGGAGAAAAACAACTGTCTCCTTGTTATTGCTCATCCCTACATCATGTAATAACATGATGCTCAGGCATAGCTGAATGGGTTTGTGAGACCAAAGCAAGTAAAAAGAAGCCTCTATTTGGAACTTGTCTCCTTACTTTTGTTTCTCACTAATACAATAATCATAAGCATTTGATAGATCCAAAAATGTTCCCCCAATGGGAGGCTTTATCATTATTTAGAATGAGTTACTATCTCTCTCTCTCTCTCTCTCTGAGATGAAGTCCCACTCTGTTGCCCAGGCTGGGGTGCAGTGGCACGATCTTGGCTCACCGCAACCTCCACCTCCCGGGCTCAAGTGATTCTCCTGCCTCAGCCTCCCGAATAGCTGGGATTACAAGTGCGTGCCACTACACCTGGCTAATTTTGTTTTGTTTGTTTGTTTGTTTGTTTTTTTGAGATGGAGTTTCGCTCTGTCACCCAGGCTGGAGTGCAGAGGTACCATCTTGACTCACTGCAACCTCTGTCTCCCGGGTTCAAGCAATTCTCCTGCCTCAGCCTCCCAAATAGCTGGGATTACAGACACACGCCACCACACCGGGCTGATTTTTGTATTTTCAGTAGAGTAGCGATTTTCGCCATGTTGGCCAGGCTGGTCTTGAACTCCTGACCTCAAGTGATCCGCCCGTCTCGGCCTCCCAAAGTGCTGGGATTATAGGCTTGAGCTACGGCACCCAGACAAGAATCTCTTAACCTGGTGCAAACTATTCAGTCTGCCAGTTGAGCCAACTCTTTGTTTGAGTGGCCCTGGGTTTTGCTTTACAAACAAAGAAAATTAGGAAATGGACTCTACACTAATGTAGCTTACAGTTTAATAGAAAACAGACATAAGTAATTACAATACAATGAGTTAAGTGCTCTAACAGACATGAACACAGCACTACACAGAAGAAAAGTAAATGGATACTCGTAGGACACTGTTGGCTGGTGTTTCTCAATCCTTGTTCATCATCAGAAATTTACTATGGTAGCATTTTCAAAATAACCACAGTCAGGACTCAGTGGTAAAGAAGAACAGCAATCTGTATATTTTTAAGTTGCCTAGGAGATTCTAATGATCAGCCAATTATAAGAATCACTGATTTTTAGATAGATCTTAAAAGACATAACAACAACAACAACAAAATCACACAATAGCATGATCAGAACCCACTTAGTGGCCGGGTGAGGTGGCTCACACCTGTAATCCCAGCACTTTGGGAGGCTGAGGCGGGTGGATCACCCGAGGTCAGGAGTTTGGGATCAGCCTGGCCTGTCACGATGAAACCCTGTCTCTACTAAAAATACAAAAATTAGCCAGGTGTGGTGGCACATGCCTGTAATTCCAGCTACTCAGGAGGCTGAGGCAGGAGAATCGCTTAAACCTCGGGGGAGGATGCAGTAAGCTGAGATTGCGTTACTGCACTCCAGCCTGGGCAGCAGTGAAAGACTCTGTCAAAAACAAACAAACAAACAAAACCCACTTAGTCATCCATTTCATTCATCCATATCCTTCCATCCATCCATTTATTTATTGCACATCTACCATGTATTAGGTACTGGAGATAAAATGAACAATAACAGGTAAGAATTCCTGCCATCATGGAACTTTAAGTATAGTGGGAGAGACAAACATTAGTGACTAATGATAATCCCGTAATTCTTCACATTAATGTAGAAGCATAATGGGTAAGTGCTATGAAAGAGAAATACATGGTGCTGAGATCTGATGTAAACAGAAAGCTCCTCTCTCCATGGAACAAAGCAAACAAGAATTTTCTGAGATGGTGGCCATGATGTAGACATATTTGTATGTTTCAGGGAATGAGTGGTGTTCAGGAAAGAGGTAACATTTAGATAAATCACTTCCTCTACTCCCCCCATCTTCCTGAATTCACTAATACTTTCCTTGGAATGTTATGGCATTAATTCTAGATGCTGATTATTTTAAATGTAAGCAAATTAAACCATTGTCAGGCAGTCAAATATTGTAATTTGATTTTATCCTGTGAAGGTATCCCGAATTTGTCTTCAAGACTTTTTTTTTTTTTTTTTTTTTTAAAGATAGAATCTCACTCCGTCACCCAGGTTGGAATGCAGTGGCACGATCTTGGCTCTTGGCAACGTCTGCGTCCCAGGTTCAAGTGATTCTTCTGCCTCAGCCTCCAAAGTAGCTGAGACTACAGGCACGTGCCACCACGCCAGGCTATGTTTTGTATTTTTAGTAGAGATGGGGTTTCACCATGTTGGCCAGGCTCGTACCGAGTTCCTGACCTCAAGTGACCCACCCACCTCAGCCTCCCAAAGTGCTGGGATTACAGGCATGAGCCACCACGCCCAGCCTTCAAGTCTTTATTCTTATTGTTAATTTCATAATGTATTCTCTGTCATCTCTCTCTTGGGCTAGCATTCCAGCTGGTTTCCCTTCCTTGGCTCTACCCTCTGCAGCCCCTCCTGTAGCAAAATTATTCTTCTAAAACACAGATCTAATCATGTCATCCACCCAGCTACCCTGCTTCAAACGTTCCGTTTCCATTATTCACCATGGTCAAAGGGAAAGCCTAAATTCTTAAGCTGGTGGATGCCTTCCAACCTGACCCCAACACATCACTTTGTCTGTTTCCTGTCATTGACGCCCTGGAACTGCCTACTTCAACCACAAATAACCAACCAGCGGTCTCTGATTACATCATACTCTCTCATGCCACTGAGCCATGTTAAATGCTATTCCTTTTATCCAGAATACCTTTGGTAAAATCCCACTTACTCTTTAAGTCTCAGTTCCAAAGTTACCTTTTCTGTGAAAAATTTCCCAATCTTACTGATTTAAAAGTTGCCTTTAAAATTAGCTGGGCGTGGTGGCAGGCATCTGTAATCTCAGCTACTCAGGAGGCTGAGACAGGAGAATTGCTTGAATCTGGGAGGCGGAGGTTGTGGTGAGCCAAGATTGTGCCACTGCACTCCAGCCCAGGTGATAGTGAGAGACTTCGTCTCAAAAAAAAAAAGTTGCACTTTTTGTCTTCTCATAATGTTTTGTTCACACCTTCTTACCATACGCTGTCTACGCTGTCTAGTAGAGTGGCACAGAAAGGGGAGAAGGAAGGAGCTGCCTCTGTTTTCTCGCCTGCACGGTGACTGCCACACTCAATGAAGGCTCCCTCTTCTCAGGGGCTGCTGAACAGGTCTGTTGTGCCGACTAAATCATACCTACTGTTCCACTAGTCACCGCAGTAACAGTGGATTTCTGTTTTCTTTATTCTTTTATTTTTAAACAGGATCTCACTCTTGCCCAGGCTGGAGTGCAGTACAGTGGCATGATCTCAGTTCACTGCAGTCTCAACCTCCTGGGCTCAAGCAATCCTCCCGCCTCAGCCTCCCAAGTAGCTGGGAATACAGGTGCATGCTACCACATCTGGCTAATTTGTTTTACATTTTTAAAAAATTGTTTTTTTAGAGACAGGGGTCTCGCTATATTGCTCAGGTTGGTCTTGGAACTCCTGGGCTTAAACAGTCCTCCCACCTCGGCCTCCAAAATGCTAGGATTACAGGGATGAGCCACTGCATCCAGTCTGTTCTCTTTATTCTTTTGACAGTTAAAATCAAGTTAGAATTTGGTGGAGAAGAGAAAATCTTTTCAACAAATGGTCCTGGAAAAGCTAGATATCCACATACAAAAAAGAGAGAAATGAATCTATATACTGACATTACAGTTTTCATAAAAATTAACTCGGCCTGGAGTAGTGGCTCACGTCTGTTATCCCAGCATTTTGGGAGGCCGAGGTGGGCGGATCACCTGAGGTCAGAAGTTCGAGACCAGCCTGGCCAACATGGGAAAATCCTGGCTCTACTAAAAATACAAAAATTAGCTGGGTGTAGTGGCACATGCCTGTAATCCCAGCTACTCAGGAGGCTGAGCAAGGAGAATTGCTTGAACCCAGGAGGCGGAGGTTGCAGGGAGCCGAGATCGCACCATCGCATTCCAGCCTGGGCGACACAGCAAGGCTCCATCTCAAAAAAATAAATAAATAATAAATAAATAAAATGGATCACAGACATAAATGTAAGACAGAAAACTGTAAAACTTCTAGAATAAAATAGGAGAAAAATGTAGGTGACCTTCAGTTTGGCAATAAGTTTTTAGCTACAACACCAAAAGCATGATTCATGAAAGAAAAAAACTGATAAGCTGGATGTCATTAATGTTAAAAGCACTTGCTCTGTGAAATACATGGTTAAGGGAATGAAAAGATAAGCCACAGAGTAGAAGAAAACATCTGCGTATTATATCTGATAAAGGACTTTTACCCAAAATATACAAAGAACTCAAAATAACAATCAGAAAAAAAAAAAAAAAAAAGTAAAAAGGTCAACCAAAGGGCCGGATGCACTTGCTCTGTGAAATACATGGTTAAGGGAATGAAAAGATAAGCCACAGAGTAGAAGAAAACATCTGCGTATTATATCTGATAAAGGACTTTT